GCTTTTCAGTGTGCTTTAATGAAATGGAAATGGGAAAGATCAGGGATTCCTGGACAAGTGACACCTCAGCTAGTACTTTATTGAGGAAGAGGCCCTGCTATGCCCACTTCTCTGTGCGTAGGGGTGTGGGGGGTGCGGGTAGGTTCTGCTCCTCTGGGGAGCCCCACAAGGTGGTGAATATGTGTGTAGTTATCCTAGGGTGCGCCAAAGCCTTGCCAGAGTTTCAGTACCTGGTTTTGTTGGAGACCAAAACTGATAATAGGAAAATCATCCATGTGTCTCTGCCGTGAGAGTCAAACCGCCTGTTTTCGTCATCTCAATGTCCTGGGGACATTTTTCTGATTTAAAAGTAAATGAAAATTTTTTTGGGGGCTGAAGCAGTGGCTCACGCCTGTAGTCCCAGCACTTTGGGAGGCTGAGGCAGGACAATCACTTAAGCCCAGGAGGTGGAGGCTACAGTGAGCTGTGATCATGCCAGGGCACTCCAGCCTGGGCGGCAGAGTGACATCTTGTTTAAAATAATAATAATAATAATAATAAAGGAAATTCTGTGGGCCCCTAAAAGCATTGTGGGCCTCAGGCCCTACGAGTCCTGTGCCTCCTGGGCAAGTCAGACCTGACGGGTGGAAGGAGACACCCAAGGTTGACCTCTGTGGCTCATGCTACTAATGTGCTGGGGCACTGCCCATGGGCCATACAGAAACAGGCAGTGGGCTGGACTTGGCCAGTGAGCCATAGTTTGCTGACCATTGTTCTAAATGACCAAGTTGCAATTAGCTGAGAGAATTTCTGTTGGGCTATAGGACAGCCAAGAAAAGACATGGTCATCCAAAGTGACTGGTGACCACCACAGAGAATCTTCCCCTGGGCCCTAGTCACCACCCTGTTCCCACACTCCTGTTTTTTTCTTTTCACTTTGCGAAAAGTAAAAGTGTACACTTATTAAACATAAATGGCCTGTAATCCCAGCACTTTGGGAGGCCAAGGCGGGCAGATCACTTGAGGTCAGGAGTTTGAGACCAGCCGTGGCTCATGGTGAAGCCCCATCTATGCTAAAAAATGCACAAATTAGCTGAGTATAGTAGAGCAAGCCTGTAACCTCAGCTCCTTGGAGGCTGAGGAGGGAGAATTGCTTGAGCCTGAGAGGTGGAGGTTGCAGTGAACCAAGATCACGCCTCTGTATTCAAGCCTGGGCGAGAGAGTGAGACTCCATCCCCCCAAAACAAACAAACTAACCAACCACATAAGTGTATAATTTAATGAGTTATCACAAAGCAAGTACCCATCTAGATCAAGAAATAGGGCATTCCTAGCACTTCCACAGGCCCCTCTCCCTGAACCTGAAGGAAGCTACGAAACTGACTTATCCCTTGTAAGAGCAGTCTGTTGGGTTTATAACACTGCTCTTTGGCATCTGGGCTCTTTCAGGCCTGACCATTGTTGTACTGTGTTTCTAGAAAGACTGAATGGAGTGGGCTACCACTCACAAGATCTCAGGGCCATGCTTTTCTCAGGAGATTGGTTCTCTTAGAGGGGCTTGGCTGGAGGTGAGGAATGCCTGTGAGCAATCCAGCCAGCCAACCCAGGGTGCTCTGAGGACTAGAGAGAAAAAAGGTTCATTGACACCACAAAGCGCCTAGTCACAAACACAGATGTTTTGTTAGAGGAACACCACAGACAGAAAAATCATTACTAGTGAAACTAAGGTTCTTCTAGACTGCAACCCTATTGATTTGAAACTGATTAGCCCATAACTATTAAAAGGGAAAAAATTATAGGGAAGGCAGATTCAACATGCTTTATGTTTGAGTGTGAGTCAAACCTTCTAACTGCAACTCACCCCACAGTTCAGGGCTGCCGTGTTATAGCCATGAAGGCTATGCACGGCACAACTCTTGCAGGCACCATTCGCACAGAATACAACGTGAATGCTGCCCTGTGGAACTGCATGGTGAGGCAGTCCTGCCAGTATTAACAGAATCAGTTGCCTAGATCCAGGCCATGCTTTAACTTACAATGTGTAACTTCATCAGTTACACATGTTTGGGTAAAGGACTCTTTTTTTGGTGGGGGGAACCTCTGCCTCCCAGATTCCAGTGATTCTCCTGCCTCAGCCTCCCCAGTAGCTGGGATTACAAGCACACACAACCCAACCCAGCTAAGATTTTGTATTTTTAGTAGAGATGGGGTTTCACCACGTTTGCCAGGCTGATCTCGAACTCCTAACCTCAAGCAATCTGCCCACCTCAGCCTCCCAAAGTGCTGGGATTATAGGCGTGAGCCACTGTGCCCAGCCAAGGCTCTTCTTTTCTTTTTTTAAATATTTATATTTTTTTGAACCAGTCTCTCACTCTGTCACCCCATCCGGACTGCAGTGGCATGACCATGGCTCGCTGCAGCTTTGATTTCCCAGGTTCAAGTGATCCTCCTACCTCAACCTCTGGAATAGCTGGGACTACAGGGGTACAGCTAACTTTTTATGCACAGCTGATTTTAAACATTTTTTAGTGACAGGGTCTTGCTTTGCTGCCCAGGCTGGTCTCAAACTCCTGGCCTCAAGCAATCCTCCCACCTCAGCCTCCCAAAGTGCTGGGATTACATGTGTGAGCCACTGGGCCAGCCTCCCCATTTTAACTATGAGACTAGGCATGGAGAGGTTATCATGCCCAGGGTGGTGCAGCAAGCAAGCAGCAGAGCTGGGAGTGGAACCCAGACAGCCCATGGTCCTCCCTGCTACACGGTCTGTGTTATTCAGACACGATTTAAAGTTCCTGTGAGCAGGCTCGAGCAGGCTCAAGCGGCTCGTCACATCCATGCTCTTTCTGATCCCCTTTGAAGAGATGGTTTGAGAGTGTAGAATTGCTCCTTTTGATTTGTGTACATCAGAAAACAGACTCACCAAGTACTAATCCCAACCTCCAAACACCCTCCACAATAGAGAATCAAGGCAACCACACTCCAGGGTAAGAATCCAAATTGTTATTCCCAACAGGCCCCATCGGGCCCCTGATCGGTGTGAACTCTCTCCTCATCCTTTGGGGCTTACCCAGAAATGAAAACCGGTTCCTATATTACATGAAGAGCTGGACGTGTTCAGGTCAGAGAGGGGATCTGTTTCTTCAGAGGCTTCCACTCTGTTTGCAGGATAATCCTATTATAGGAGGTGACTAGATTCCCTAATGGTGCTGGAATGTGGTATCATTGAAAACAGGATTATATAAATGCATGGGCTGGGTGTGACAGTGCCATAGTAGAGGCATGGGCAACTGCTCTCTTTCAGGGACTTTCCCAGTAATTCGAGGGCCTGGGGCATTCTTCCTGATGTTCCCACTTGATATTTGCCTTACAGTAGATGCTCAGTTAAGACCTGTTGAGCTAGCTGTTCTGACAAGACATAACTTTACAGAGGTATGTGGCAAAACCACACACTGTTTCAAGAGCCCTGCTGGTGTGGAGTGGGGAGCCCCTGAGTAGCTTGACACTTCCCAGTTGCAAGCCAGTGGCCACAGAAGGATCAGCGACAGCGGCTCCAGCGCTGCCCACTGAGCCTGGCTGCCCTTCCTCAGAGGGGCTTGCCTGATGAAAGGAGCAAGGAAAACAAATCCCTTTAGTCACCCAAAGCCCATCTCCTAGAAGAGCAACAGCTCCTCCATCGGCAAGTGCTGCTTCAACACACAAGAGGGGAATAAAGGAACTACAGGTCCCAGTGGAAACACTGTATTCATTTCTGAGGACTGTGCTATATTTTAAGGCAATTGTCACATGTACAAAACAGTCAGATGAACAGTATCCGAACAGATTTATGACAACATGTTAGAGAGAGAACAGCAAGGGAAATGTTTTCAGACAAGGAGATGTGAGATTTTTGCCAGTCAGCTAACCCCTGGTCTACCAACTCTGTACTGAAAGCCAGGAAGACACATGGCACATTCTCTCTTCTCGCCTCCAAGGGGAAGGGCTACCCTTCTAAGACCATGCTTCTTACTGCAGGACCAGGCCAGGACATGGATAGTCGGCCAATGAGTTTTAAGTCCAACTCTAATTTCATGTTTTATGGCTTTGTGAAATTCATCTTTAGGAACGGGAAAATCACCATACCAAAGACATACAACTTGTAGTTAATAGTTAAGTTCACCTCTCTCCAAACACAAACTTGTTGGGCTTGGAGCTAAAATGATATATACACACATGTATACACAACGCACACATATAACACACATATGTGTGTATAGATGTGTGTGTGTGTGTGTGTGTGTGTGTGAAAGAAGAAAAAGATTTACTGAAGCCTGAAAAATAGTGAGTGTTCATTTGCCATCTGGAATCAAACAATGTGATTGTTTCCCCTTGAAAACAGAATAGTAGGCTGGGTGTGGTGGCTCACACCTGTAATCCCAGCAGTTTGGGAGGCCGAGGCAGGCAGATCATGAGGTCATGTATTTGAGCCCAGCCTGACCAACATAGTGAAACCCCATTTCTACTAAAAATACAAAAATAATCTGGGCATGGTGGCCTGCGACTATAATCCAAGCAACTCAAGAGGCTGAGGCAGGAGAATCACTTGAACCCAGGAGGCGGAGGCTGCAGTGAGCTGAGACCGTGCCACTACACTCCAGCCTGGGTGACAGTGCAAGACTCTGTCTCAAAAAAAAGAAAGAAAAGAAAAAACAGAAGAGTATCAGCAACATGCTCTCCCCAGCGGGGAAAAGTTGTTTCCAGCTTCCTCTGCATGGTTCCTGGTCCCTCCTGGCTTCACAGGAGACTGAATGGCTTAGCTGGTTTAAAGAGAGCTGGGCTTTCCCCTTGGCTGGCTCAACTCTGTGTCCCATGGCTTTCCTTCACCCCTTCTGCTCAGGGACACATCCCCAGTTTTAAGAAGGGGCTGTGGCTTGATGATCTCAGTTCCATCTACCCATCCTCATCTCAATGGTACACACATCCATTAACGTGTGTCCCCGTCTGTAGGGCCCAGGTGACACACAGCAACAGGGAAAACAAGGGAATGAAGGAGGCTGAACACTGGGGTGCTTTAATGGCCTGTTACAGGGTGGCAGAAACAGTGCCTGGGTCTGGGAGTCACAGCGAAGTGCCCAGAACCATAGTGGAAGGTGGGGTCACTAGTTCGTGAAAACCTGAAGGACATGAGGAAGAGGCTGTGTTTGATGCTAATTACACACAGAACAAGTGGCATAGATAAAAGTCCTAATGCGCATAGAGAACAAAGCTCTGCTCAGAAAGGCTGTCCTCACCAGCAGAAGGACTGGGTAGAGAAAGCTGTCCCCTACACAAAAAAGAAGAGCATACTGGGGTGGCACTTGATAGCCAAGAAGTGAAATGGTCATTTTCACAGATTAACAGTTTGCCTCACCAAATCCCTTTGAGGTAGGTAAGAGGCAGGTGACATTAGCCCCATCTTACAAATGGGGTAAAGTGAGGCCCCAGGACCTGTTACATCATGAATACGTGTCAACAACCACAGTCAAACAGCAGGTTCTCAGATCTTCCCTCTCACTGGTAAACTCCTTTATGAAAGCTCCTTAGTTAGATTAGAAGATTAGAACCACATCAGCAGGTAACTGGAAAAGCGTGGACCATTTCGCTGATAATTTTAAATGTGGATATACTGGCAAGAAAGGGATCTATATTTTGAAGTCAGCCAAAGCCAGGGGACCTGGGAATCTGTGAATGGGGGTGCCTCACTCCAGTTAGTACATGGTTTTCTCTGGGGTGGTGGCTGTTGTTTTTGCTGCAGTGCAGCATTTTACAGAGTCCGGTTGAATTCATATAATAGACTGATAAACCAACAAGTGTCCTGAATATTACTACATCACACTTCCCCAGGGAAGGAGGCCCCTCTCTGGCCTGTTGCCAACTCAGAGTGAATGGAGATAAAGCTACAGTGTTGTCAGAGGCCCAGGCCTCTGGAAGGAGGGAGAAAAGTGCCCTAGGGCTGGGATGAGAACTGGGACAACTGTGTGTGAAACCTGTCCTGTCCTGATTAGAGAACCCTCCGCTCCCCCACCCGCCCCCACAAGGCTGCATTCCCTCTCCTTTTTTCTTTGACCTCAGAATCTAAGATGTTTACCTAAGGCTGTGGACCAGAAACCACCCCCCACCCACAGTGCTAACACCACCTGGAGTATTTCTAACTTGACGCTGTACGGCACCTGCAGTCTCCCAGGACCCAGGAATCAGAAGCCACCCACACCTAGCTATAGCACAAACTCTTTAAACACCTGAGTCCCAGCCCAGCAAAGTCCAGCTAAGAATTTGGGTATTTTTTCAATTACTACAACTCGAGGCAATGCAATAGGTGACTATAAACCCCCTTGGTTTGCTTAGAAAACATCTGACACAGAGCTGACCAGGGACAGTGAAATACATCTGCATTTTTCCAAGGTGTGACCACAGGACCCTGTGAGTCCATGGTTTCTTGAGCCTGGCAGCTCAAGGGGTCCAAACAGATCCCTGGTGTACACACAGTTGCACCTGGACATGGATTAAGCCAAATGTTAGAGTGTCCTGGTCCTTGGTAATCAGTTCCTGCTGGGGAGCCTGAGGCCAGTGCCGAGAGGTAAGCCTCAGGCCAGCGACTGAGCCAAAGCATTGCTTGGGAGATTAAAAGTTGGCAGGGGCAGTGCCCTGTGTCCACGACTGGCGGCTGGGTGAACAGGGTGGGACACCACTGCTGGCAGGCAAGCCCAAAGCCCAGCCTCCTCACAGAACCGACTCCTTGGATTCCAGCTCTGGGGCACTGGCCACGGGGCCAGGGGGATTCTGGTGTGTCACCAGGGGTGACGTCTCCTCCTCAGACTTGCAGTTGGGGATGGCTTCCACTTTCACCTCAGCCAGTTCCTGCTCGCCTTTCTTCGTTGCCTTCTGATTCAGGTGGTGGAGAATGCCCGCGCCCAGGGCATCCCCTTCCACATTCACCACTGTGGTGGTACGGTCCCTGGTGGGGAAAGAAGAGGCTCAGCTATTACATCGAATGCTGGGGGATCAGGTCCTGTCACAGGCAGCCTGGGTGCCAAGGGAAAGTCTTGATCGTGAGGGCCCTGTTGCTTCCTGGAGAGCATGCTTTTAAGGCATGGGCTTCACCTTACTCTAAACTGATTTTCTTTAAACACTTTTTATTTTTACAAAAAGAATAAAAAAGAACATAAAGAAGCAAACACATCACTCACCCTTAATCCAAAACAGTGAATCTGTATGCACATTTTAATCTATTTCCTTCTAGTCATCTTTCTATACACGTATTTTATATGTATTAGGCACCATCATTAAAAATTACACATAAGCCAGGCACAGTGGCTCATGCCTGTGATCCCAGCACTTTGGGAGGCTGAGATGGGAGGACTGTTTAAGGCGAGGAGTTTGAGACCAGCCTGGACAACATAGTGAGATCCTATTTCTACAAAAAATAAAAGAATTAGCTGGGCATGGTAGTGCGTGTCTATAGTCCTAGCTACTCAGGAGGCTGAGGAGAGAGGACTGCTTGAGTCCAGGAGTTTGAAGCTTCAGTGAGCTGTGACGACGCCATTGCACTCCCGCCTGGACCACAGAGTAATACCCTGTCTCTAATAAGTAAACAAATAAACATACATACATATTGGGATAATATTGTGGATATGGTTTTGTGTCTAGCTTTTCTTCCACTGAGTATTACACTGGGAGTTTCCCTTCTTTTTCTCATTTCAACGCTGCTTTACTGCTGGATGTTAATCTTCATATATGTTCCATTGCCATTGGCAAATATACTCCCATCTCAAAGAAAATATCCTTTTCAGAAGCTAACTTCTTGTGCTATAGATTAGCCAATACCATTCCCTTGCCCCTGGAGCTCAGAGAAAGCATTGTGCACATTTTGAAGAGAGAGTTAAACGTGATCTTCCCTGAGGGCACTGGAGAGCTGACTCCCTGCAGAGTGCAGTCCGGCTGTCTGCAGAATCAGAGGTGATGGGGTGGCTGGCGGACCTGTATGACTTCAGGACTCTACTGGGCAGCTGACTTGGTGCCCTATTTCCCTATTCCTGGCCAAGCACCTCTTGGATGCCTCTTCTCCATGCACAGGAGGTAGCTGTGTGAGGAAGGAGAGGGGCCTCTGTCAGCTCTGGTCCTGTCCAGCTGGCCAGCTCAGGGATGCAGTTCCCTCTGAGGAGGTGTCTGGGCAATTCGGGTCTCTTGTAAATTTCACCCTCATTGCTCTGAGAAGCCCCTTCAAGTTGGAAAACCCACCATTCCCACCCATAGCTGGCCAATCCACAAGCCCAGAGCCAGGCTGTAGGGTTCAGGTTCTCTTACTCCTGCCTGTGACAAACCTGGTCTGGAATGACTTTCTTTGCTAACATGAATTGAATGTTTTACCACATGCTCATTATTCTGTGTGCTGTTCCCATGCTAACTCACTCAGTCTTCCCCACAACCCTGGTGTGGCTGCTCTGATCATTCCCATTTGACAGACGAGCAGACCAAAGCACAGCGCAGTGCAGTTCCACAACTACTAATGGCAAAGCTGGGATTTCAGTCCAGGCACCTGGGTTCCGGGGCTCATTCTCTTACTCACAGGCTCTACTGGCTCAACATTAGTACCTCAGCCAACCTTTCCTATAAAACAGGTATTATTTATGCCTGCAAAAGGTATCACGTGACTCAAGGAATCAACTCACAGAAAGTGTTTTGTGTCTTCACAGCAGCCCTGGAGATGTGGTCTGTATCACCCCTTCTTCCCTAGCTCCTCTTCTGCTGAGCCCAAGCCCAAGTCACTCACATTGGCATGGTTCATCCCCTCTCCCCTCACAGAAATCACTCCTTAGAATTTTCCAGGCCAGGGGCTATCATTCCCAAAGGATCACTGCACCATTGACTTATTACTCCCATGCAGCCAGCAACCCCACATACCCTCATGTCCCCTGGGCCTGTGCAGAGGGCCTCAGCTGTGGCCCCTACTTTACTGGATGCTGTAAGCAAGTTCTTGGCAATGACATCTCATGGTCATTCCTGGATGTTCACAGGTATGTGACTCTCATATTACTTAATTTTTCCTACCTCTAAATCTTGCCCTGCCAGCTCCACTGTAGGCTCCCTCACAAGGCTAGCATGTGTCTGAAGTTGCTATGCATGCCCCAGGCCTAGCAGTGTCAAGCTCCTAGGGAACTCAATGCGGACTCTTTTTGGTATTCTTAGGACTTGTTACTTACACAATCCAGTCCACAGCCAGGATCAGAGACAGGTCATGAGTAGGCAACCCAATGGCCTCCAGGATAATGGCAATGGTGAGGACCCCTCCAGCTGGCACGCCTGCTGCTCCAACACTGGACGCTGTGGCGGTTACCCTAGGGGACAGCAGAGCAGGGCCAGCCATTAACATAGAGCATGGAGTGGGCACAGAGAAATGCAGACCATGCAGCTGCAGTGTGGCTGGTACTGAAAACAAGCCCACCATGGGCTCACTGGCTGCGCCCAACACACGCTCTTCAAGTAATGAATCCCCACTGTCATTTTACTAACGAGACACCAAGTCGTGGTGAGATTAGTTTTTCAAAGGAAATCACGAGAAAAACCTTCAGTTTTGAGCCAGGGAAAGAATGAGGAACTTACAGAATGGTGAAAATCTGCCCTGCATTGAGCTCTACGTTGTTGAGCTGGGCAATGAACACCGTGGCCACACACTGGAAGATGGCTGCTCCATCCATGTTCACAGTGGCCCCGATGGGGAGAATAAACCTGCTGATCCTCTTGTCCACACCATTGTTCTCTTCGATGCACTTCATCATAGAGGGAAGGGTCGCTGAGCTAGAAATGGGGAAATCAGACCGCCAGACATGACAACAGTCCCAGCCAGGCTAACACGTGACTCAGCTCCCAGAACAGAGCAATTAACACCATCTTCATTTCTGGCTTTCTTCTCTTAAAATAAGGGAAAAAACAGAATCGCTTTAAAACTTCTGTCACAACACGAGGCTTTGGTAACTCCCAAAGTATTGAAAATAGGATTTACTGGTTCTATTATTTACCTGGATTCACATGTTCCAAATTTCTTAAAAACTGCATTGCCTCGTGGTGCAAAATCTTCCCAAGAGAACAAACACCCATTTACTCTAATGTGCATCTCCTCTCTTGAATACTCCCCTCCCAAAAGTAAATGTTAAACTATGATTTTGTTTTTCTTTTAGGCCAAAAAGCAAAAATGGCTCTGCGAGTTTGGAAAGAATTACTAAGCAGAGAACCATAAGAACAGTACCTGTTCCCTCGAGCTGGCTCTGCAGGCTCCGCTGAGGTTAGTAGGTGCAGCTGAGGAAGAGGTTTTTGTCTAGGCCAGAGGAACTTCTCTTCTTCATTTTTTTTTTTACCCCCATTTTCCTTGTTATATAAATAGCCATCCAGATTGGGAGGAAGTGAGCAGTAAAGACAAAACTAAATGTGTGAATGAAACGACGTGCTGCCATCCTTTGAAAGTTTTAAAATATTTGGAAAACCCAATTTTTTTTTGAAGGTTTTCCAGGGAAAGACAGGATGCATCCCTTGTGCTAAATTAGATAATTCCACACTATTGTGGACTCCTAGAAGGCTGAGCATGCAACTGTCACCATGGTGCCTCAGACTCATTTTCTAATCCACACATCCAGAAAAGGAGAATTGGGCAGAAACCATTCTTGAAATTTCCCTGCAATGCATTGTGAGTGAGGTGGGCTGCCTTCTTTCATTCAGGCAAAGGTCTTCCTAATTAGAGTGAAGGACCTGGAACTGGGCTAACTAATGATCTGCTGCTAAGGAGCAAGAGGGAGAAGAGAATGAGGTAACTTCAGTAGAATAGGAAATGAAACAGAAACCCACCCAGGGGAATACAGAAAAGCTGTGGGGCTAGTGATTTTAAGAAATCATGTGAGGCTTGGTAATCCCAGCTATTTGGGAGGTCCAGATGGGAGGATCACCTGAGCCCAGAAGTTTGGGATCAGCCTGAGCAATCATGGGAAGATCTTGTCTCTTAAAAAAAAAAGCATCACAAAAGACCGATGCAGAGTTTTACAGGAATTAAAGTATGTCAAGATGCTGGTTGTGCATCTACCACTGGGCTCACCTGGTTCCATATTACTATGGCTCAGAGCAGCAAAGAGATCCAAAACCCACTCACCTGGAGCAGGTGGCAAATGCTGTCGCAAATGGGGCGAGGAGGCCCAGGAGGAATCTGAAGGGGTTTCTTCGTGTGAAAACAAAATAAATAAGTGGCAGAACAATTCCTCCATGAATAACATGGCCCAATATAGATGCGAAGATGTATTTCCCCAGGCTGGTCACCAGCACGATGATGTCTTTCATTTCCACAATCTTGCTTCCAACAAGGAACATGATGCCCACAGGTACGTACCTAGGGCATAAGCACAGGGTACTCATCAGTAGGGGCTAAGGTTGGGGTGAGAGATGCAGACCCTTCCAGATGCAGAATGTGAGGACTTTCAATGAGGCCGTCTTCATCTCTCCCTATTATAACCCTGAGGAACTGAAACGGGCAGGGTTATACCATCCCCATTTTGCAGGCTGTGAAACTGAGTAAAATGAGGATGATGGCTCCCCGTGGGTAACAGAGTCAGGACCAGAACCCAGAGGTCTTTCCCCTTGGACACAGCATGTCCTTAACAGAAGGGTGCTACCAGTCACAGGAATTCCCAGGAGGAAAGGCAAGAAAATTGAGATCAAAGCCTCCAGGACTGTGAGCTTGACTTCTTGGCCTTGCTCAGGCTTGTTCTGAGAATTTAGAGACACAAAAGACTAACGCCTATTTTACAGTGTGGCGGTGATACAAAATTGAGCCAAAGCTAGGACTTTTGTGAAGTTTTAAATTCTTTGTGGCTTAGACAACATGACTCCGTGGGAAAAAGTCACTCACAATGACACTCTGGGAACATGCCTGGAGCGTGAGAGTTTTTTAAAGGCAGGATGGGAAGGAACGGATTGTTGGAACTACAAAGAACAAAAGTCAGTTGTTTTGAATCAATATAAATTCAGGAAGAATTTTCTAACTGTTGACTTTGTTTGTAAATTTTACTTGTGTAGGTAATAATGTCACATAGTTCGAATTTCAAGGGGTACAAAAGAGTGAATAGAGTACAGTCTCCCGCTCATCTGTCTCCCAAGCACCCAGATTTCCCCTCCCTGGAGACAGTCAATGTCACTGGTTTCTTGAATTTTCTTTCTGGAGATATTCTAAGCAGTAATTATTAATTTAAAACCCGATAGTAATACAAGAATACATTCCCTTTCAAAAAATTAAAACGTAGATGACACCCAAATCCTCTTTCAGCACCATCCTCAAGCCAGTCCCCTCCTCAAATAACCACTCCTACCTCCTGTGCAATTAGATACATGTGTATTTAAATCTGTGTGTTTATTTCTTTTTCACCCTATGTCTTTTAAATCTTTTCATATCAGTACATAGAAATCTACCCCATTCATTTTTATTGTGGTGAAATATGCATAACATAGAATCGACCATTTTAACCATTTTTCAGTGTAGAGTACAGTGGCACGAAGTTCATTCACATTCTTGTGCAACTATCATCACTCTCCAAGTCCAGAACTTTTCCACCATGCTAAACTTTGAAATCATTCAACATAATGGCCTATTTTCCACTCCTCTCAGCTCCTGAGAACCACTATTCTACTTCCTGGCTCTCTAAATTTGACTATTCTAGGTACACAATGGTGGAATCATACAATATTTGTCCTTCTGTGTCTGGGTTATTCTACTTAGTACGATGTTTTCAGGCTTCATCCACATTGGAGTGTGAGCACTCCTTTCTAAGGCAGAATCATATTCTATTGTATGTATACATCCCATTTTGTTTATCCACTCATCCACTACCAACATTTGGGTTGGGGTTGTTTCTACCTTTACCTCATTGTCTTTAAATATTGTCTTCAGAATGGAAATACCATAGGTTATTTTGTCATTGTCCTGCTGGTGGACGTTTAAGTTGTTCCCAGGTTTATCATGACAAACAACACTGCAAACATAGGCCTTGTTGTGCCCACATGCCTTTGTTCTCTAGGTAGAGATGCTAAGAAGTGGAAATGCCGAGTTATGGGGTGTGCATGTTTTAAATTTCAGTAGATACTACGCAACTGTTCTCCAAAGTGGCTGTTCCATATCACATTCCCACCAGCAGTCCAGGAGAATAATCTTCCCTCTGCAACAGTGGTTCTTATCCAGGGATGATTTTGTCTGGAAGACAGTTTGGTTGTCACAACTTTAGGGGCATGCTGCTAGTGGCACAGAGCAGGTGGGGCCCATGATGCTACTAAACATCTAACAGTCACGAGACAGCCTCCCACAAAGACTGTGTCATGTCAAAAGTGTCAAAAGTGTTATGGCTGAGAAACCTTGACCCAAAATGTCAAAAGTGTCATGGTTGAGAAATCTCACCCTCACCCTTATCAATGCCTGATAAAACCAAATTTTCATTTCCCTTATTTCTAATGAGGTTGGGTCTCCCTTAAAATATTTACTGGTCATTCAGGTTTCATATACTTCCATTTGCTAATAGTTTATTCTGTGATTTTTCTTTTTCAGTAATCAGAACACTTTATATAGACAGTATGCAAATATATACATCAATTTTTAGAAATGAATGTCTTGACTTTTAACTTTGTTCAAAGTATCTTTTGCATGTAGACTTTTTATATTTTGATGTGGTTAAGTTTAGCAGCTTTTAATGGCTTTTGCTTTTTATATCTTGTTTAGGAAGACCTTCCCTGCCTCTATATTTTCTTCTAATATTTTTAGAAGACTCCTCTCATTCTTTCCTTCTTTTCTTCCTTCCTCCCTGGTAAGTTTAATCCAAGAGTTAGCAGCGTGAGCCTTTGTAAATAAAGTTTTATGGGAAATTAGCCATACTCTTTCATTTATGAATTGTGAACAGGTACTTTTCCCCTCCAATGGCAGAGTTGGGTAATTGCAATAGAGACCATGTGGCTTGCAAAGTTTGCTGACCCTGGGTTTAACACATCTGAAAGTTATTTCTGTGAGTAGTGTAGAGTAGGCAGGTACTTGAGTTTTGGAGTGGGTAGTTAGTAAAGGAAAGAATGCAGAAAGCGGAAATACTGAAGATGCCTCCCCCATGTGGTTGAGATCCCTTTACTAGTTAAGCCATTTTAAACTCCAATTCTGTGTAATACGCATTTCTGAGCAACAGGTCTCTTGCTCTCTTGCTGCAGTTAGACACTTAGCAGGATCTGCCTAACTGAATACCTGCTTATGTGACTGGTACATCAAATTGCAGGAATGACTAAATTGGTTTCCAGATTAAAAGCAAACGTCCTAACATGGGAGTATCAGTGATATGGTTTGGATCTGTGTCCCCACCAAAATCTCATATCGAATTATAATCCCCCACCCTTCCCACTCTTTTTCTTCCTCCTGCTCTGGCCATGTGAAGACATGCCTGCTTCCCCTTCGCTTTCTGCCATGCTTGTAAGTTTCCTGAGGACTTCCCAGTCACGATTCCTGTACAGCCTGTGGAACCATGAGCCAATTAAACCTCTCTTCTTTATAAATTACCTAGTTTCAGGTATTTCTTTATAGCAGTGTGAGAATGGACTAATACAATCAGTTTCTTTTTTTACTTTTAAATTTAATTTAATTGTTTATATTTTGTAGAGATAGGGTTTCAATTTGTTGCCTAGGCTGGTCTTGAACTCCTGAGCTCAAGCAATCCTCCAGCTTTGGCCTCCCAAACTGCTGGGATTACAGGCATGAGCCACTGCACCTGCCTCAGTTTCTATTCTTTAGTCCAAACTTTGGAAAATATAAATATTTTAGACTTAAAAAAAGCCAAGAAAAGAACTTGACATCTAAAAACATTTTCTTTTCTGAAAATATCAGTTATCGCCCAGAACAACAATCATATGAAGTGGCCTTGGCAATGATAGAGTCAGGCTCTGGAATTTTCAGATTGAGCAAGAGACACACTACTGGTAGGGGGTCTAAACTTAGCCTCCCATTCAATTTTGAACTTCTAAAATCAGTCCAGCTGTCATCTAGCACCATCTGAGAGAGAGAAGTTCTGGAATCTTTAAGAGTTGACAATAAGGAAAATGCTCTGTGCATGGAAGGAGAAACTAGTTTTTAACAATTAAGTAGAAGCTAAGAGCCACAGAGGTCTGGTTTGGGTAAAACAGCAGGATAGCCGGGCGCGGTGGCTCAAGCCTGTAATCCCAGCACTTTGGGAGGCCGAGGCGGGTGGATCACGAGGTCAAGAGATCGAGACCATCCTGGTCAACA